CCAGGTGAGGACAGGGCCGGGGGGATGGGATGGGCCAAAGATGGGGGACAGAGAGTGACACTGACTAGGTGAAAATGGGGGCGGGGGAAGGGCAGGTGGTGGGGGACTGATGCCAGGATGATGGGCGTGACGGACAGATCCCTGTGGGGGCAGCACTAGGGGGGAGGGGTAGAGTCACAAGCTCCATGGGGTTCTGGGGTCAATCTGCCCTGACCAAGGGCTGGACACTGAGTGAAGCGCGGGGCCCGGGGCTGGGAAGCCCTGGCCGATCTGGGCTCAAGTTGGGGGATTTCTGTGCCCCCTGGGCAGGGACCAGGGGCCCTCAAGGCAGGTCCTGGACGGGCAGTGGCAGGGCAAAGCTCCCCCGTCCTGCCATGGCCACGGATTCCAGTCCTAGTCCAGACGCCTTCTCCCTAGGCCAGCCGGGCACCCTGGGGCAGTGTGGAGCTGGGGCCCCTAGTGCTGGCTGGTCCTCCCCTGCCCCCAGAAGGCCAAGGCCTGCCTGGCCCACAACCCACCCCGGTGCCTGGGGCAGCTGAGCCAGCTCCTGGGGGCGCAGGGGACGCCCAGCCCAGGGGGGCATGAGGACCACCTCTCCTCCCCCCTGCCCAGGGAGCCCTGGAGGAAGGTGCTGTACCCCTGGGATGGGTCACACGTAGCCAGGGCAGGGTCACCCGAGGCCCCAGAGATCGGCTGGGCTCTTGGGGAGAGGAGTGTCCCCTAATGGCCCTTCTGTCTGTCCGGCTTGGGTCAAGCTTCCCCATTCCCTGCACTGAGTCTGTCTATGTGTCCCTCACTGGCCTCTCTCTCCTCCTCAGATGGCGCGTGAGCCAGGGCAGAGCGGAGCCCCTGCTGCGCCCGGAGCCCCGTCAAGAGGGGCTGCCCCCAGCTGTGACACCCGCCCGGGAACCGGCCTTTCAATAAAGCTTCTGCCTGCAGCAATCGGGTCGTGGGCTCCTCTCTGTGCCTTGCGCCCCCAGCCTGTGGGTGCAGGTCTCGCCGCTCAGCCGCCAGGCAAATAACTGGGGGGGGGGGGGCAAATGCACAGCAAAACTCTACTTCTCCCCCCCCGGGGGCTGCCCTCTGCCCCGGGCTCCCAGGGGCTCTCCCATGCAACGCACTGCGCCCGCCCCAGGCCCCCCCAGAGCTCTATGACAGCTCAGCCTCCCCAGGGCACCCGCTGCCCTGGGATCTCCCATCCAGCCTGGCTGAGCGATCCATGGGGTGCCCGGACCCCTGCCTGGGGGTCGGAGCTGGGTCTCAAGGTGATTCTGTATTGGGGGGCTGGGCACAATCTGTGCTGCCCGCTGTCACCCGTCAGGGGCCCCCTCAGGATCAGGAGCGACGTCCCCACCCCCGGCGTGGCCTGGAGCCGTTGGCTGCCAAGAACCGGCCCCTGAGGGCCCTTGTGCCGCCAGGAGAGGCCAAAGCCAACAGCCCGAGCACCTGAGCACACAGCGCCATGCCCCTCGGGGGCAATGTCAACACGCCCCAGGTGGGGCAGGTGAGGGCCTGGGCCCCCATCGGGGGGGTGGGTGACGGCAGCAGGAGCCCAGGACTCCGTGGCGCCAGCCTGCCCTTCCCGCAGGCCTGGGGGCAGGTGCCCTGGGCTAGGCACTGACTGCCTGGGGGCACGTCGGGCCAATCGAGGGGCCCAGCGGGGGAGGGGCAGGCTGTATGCGGAGCTGGGGGCGGGATTCGCACTTGCCAAACGAGTGACCTCATTTCACTGCCCCCCCCCGCAAACAGCCCCCAGCCCTCAGCAAAGGACAAACCGGCGACTCCCCCCGGCCCAGCCTGGCGGTGAATGGGCCACTCGGGGCTGTTTGCTCAGCTGCACCAGCCTCCAAGCGGGCGGGGCTGGATCCTGATCTAGGACCAGGCGTCTGGCCCTGCTCGGTCCAACCCCCACTCCCGGTCCAGAGCCCCCCAGCCTCCCTGAGGCCTTGTGCAGCCCGGGGCTCTGACACAGGGAGCCCCACGCCAAGTGGTACAGGCACAAGGCACGGGGGCCTGGTCACACGCCCCACATTTGGGGGGATGCCAGGCCTGGGTTCAGCCACAGACTGAGCCCTGAGCGCACTGGCTGGGTCACATGGGCGTCAGGCCCCCATTGATCACCACAGACAGAAACCTGAGTGAGACTCCAAACGGCATCTTACAGGGCTGAGCTGTGGGGGGAGCCCAGGGCTGGGATAGCAGGGGCTGCAGATCAGGAGTGAGGGGCACTGGCAGAGCTGGGAGGTCCAGGGCTGGGGTAGCAGGGGCTGCAGATCGGGAGTGAGCATAGGCAGCGAGCATGGGGCCTGTGCTCCATCAATATTCAGGAACATGGGCCCGGCTCCACCAATGTTTGGGCTTATATTTAATCAGAGCCATCCCGTCCATAGGACAGACCAGGGCAACCACCCTGGGCCCCGCGCTTCGGGGGGCCTCACACCTCAGGAGGCCGTGGAGTCCAGGGCAGCCTGGGGGATCAGCAGGGGCCTGGCGCCAGCAGCAGCGAGTGACCTGGCCCCACGCCACCCTTTCCCCCAAGCCTCTGCCCCTGCCCCACCTCTTTCTGGCTTCTGCTCCCTCCCCGAGCGATGCCGGGAGCTGGAGGGGCGAAGCAAAGTGGGGCAGGCTGGGGCCAGCTCACTTGCTGCTGCCAGCACCAGGCCCCCCGCTAATCCCTCAGGCCACCCTGGATGTGGACCCCACATCCCCCTGAAGCGTGCGGCCCCCCAAAGTGCGGGGCCCGGGACTGTTACCCTGATTAGTCCTATGGACGGGATGGCTCTGCTTGGACCCATTCTGGGCACCCCCAAAAATTATACAAACCTGGTGCCCGTGGGAGTGAGGGGCACCGGCAGAGCTGGGGGGCCAGGGCTGGGATAGCGGGGGCTGCAGATCGGGAGTGAGGGGCACCGGGGCTGGACCCCAGCTGAGTACTTTTGCCTCTTAGCCACTCACTTTGCTGAGTTTAATCCAAGCCCCACCCCTGCTCCTCCAGGGGGATCCTGGGCACAGTCCCATTGGCCGGGCCGGGCCCCCCTCGCCCAGCATGGCTATAAAAGGGGCGCGGGATGCGGGTGCTCGAATTCTTGAACTCAGCATGGCTGGGTCCCGGCTCCTTCTGCTTGCCCTGCTCTGCGGAGGCTCAGGTAGGAACAGCCACCGGGACTGGGCTGCCGCCCTCCACCCCTACGCTGCCTGGGACAGGGAATCGGCCCCACGAATCCAGCCAGTATGGTGCATGGCCCCGGGCTGGGAGGGGAGCGATGGGCACATGAGGAGAGCCCCTGATGCGGGTGTCTGCGAGGCGGGGGGACCCCTCACAGACAGCAAGGGCTGGGGGCAGAGATGTCTGAGCCATGGGGAGTGGGCTGTAGGGGACCCAGCCGGGCCCCTGGGGGAGCGATGAGACGGGACCTCATGGACCTTCCTGCCCCAGGCTGGGGGAGATGGGACAGGGCTGGTTCTCTCAGCTCTGCCCTCCAGGCCTGGATCTCCTCCCCAGCGATGGGCGCATGGGGTGGAGGCAGGAGGGACCCTTCCACGAAGTCCTTCACTCCCCACAATGGGCCAGAGCTGCTCCTTGGACCCGGGGCAGACCCCTGCATCTCCGCCCCATGTGCAGCGCCAGGGTGCCACCAGGTCGCTGTGAGACTAACCCAGAGCCCGGAGGGGCAGCTGTAGCCCAGACATGGGAGAGCTCAGAGTGTAAGAGTCCAGGGGACAGGACTAGGACTCCTGGGTTCTCTCCTCAGCCCTGGGAGTGGAGTGGGGTCTAGTGGTTAGAGCGGGGGGGACAGGGGCTGGGAGACAGGACTCCTGGGTTCTATCCCAGCTCTGCTGCTCACTCTGGATAACTTCCCTTTCCTGTGCTGTACCTCAGTTTCCCCATCTGTAAAAGGGGCTAATGCTGCTGGCCCACCTTGGGTAAGCGCTTTGAGATGCAGAGACCTCTAGAAGGGCGGCTCTCGCTGTGGGGAGAAAAACCTCTGGCTGCCAGACCTGGTCCCCTGGTTTTGACGGCGCCTTTCACTGACGTCCCGCAGCCCAGTTGCCATTCTGTGGCTGGTGTCGGCTTTGCAGGCATGGACCGGCCAGCTCAGCCACAGGCTCTTTGCTGTCCCAAAATGGAGCATCCCCTTTGGAAACACGTCCTGCCTTTGACGCTGTCACGTGGGTGGGGAATTCAGCAGAGGCTGGTGGAAGATGTGGAGCCAGAGAGCGCTCCCAGCCGGGGCAGATCGCCGCCTTGCATGCTGGTTTTCTGCCATGGCCGCTCGGGCTGGGTCTCCGCAGGGGCCTTTCGTCAGGAACTCAGGCAGTTTGGGGGATCCAAACTCATGCTTCAGGGCACAGGGGTCAGGAAGGGATTCTTAGCGCTGTGCCCAGCAGCCAGGTGCATTTGGGGGCTTCCCCTCCCCCAATGTATCCAGCATTGGCTGCTACTGGGCAGGTAGGGCAATCGGTCGGTTCCAGTGGTGGGCCTGGTGACCAGTGTCCTGGGGGGGGGAGGGGGCTAGAAATTGGGGGGCAGGGGATGGGTTGCGGTTCCCACCCAGCTCCCCCTCCAAAAACCCCAAATACAGGGAGGGGGAACCAAGGGCTGGCTGCACATCCTGCGTGGGCAGCCCCACGCCCCATAGGGGGAGTCCATGTCTGGGCTTCACAGGAGCAGGGGAACCGCCCCCAGGGCAACTCAGTGGGGCGGGTCCCTCACTCCCACAGGGTCTCGCCTCTTCGCGCCGGTGTGTGAGCAAATGGGGCAGGAGGGGTCTGAGCGTTTCTAGTGCCCTGTCCTGGAGCCCAAAGGGCCAGATCGAGCCCCCTGCCAGCAGAAGGACGGATCCCCCAGATCCAACTCTGTTCTGCCCTGGGTCTGATAACGCGCTCGTCACCGCTGGGGTGGGAGGGAGGGAGGGATGGATGGCGAGAGGGAGGGACCGGAGGACGGTGGGAGGAAGGGGGGCGGGGATGGATGGAGGGACAGACAGAGGGAGCGAGGGATGACTGGACGGAGGGAGGGACAGACAGAGGGATGCAGAGAGGGAGGGACGGGGGAGCGTTGGACGAAGGACAGCTGCCCCAGCACGGAGGCTGTCTGTCCCTGGTGCCGGCCAGGCCCCAGCTGCGTGTCACTAACCGGGCCTTGGCCTCTTTCGTCCCTAGCCCTGGCCGGGAGCCCGCTGGCCCAGCAGGGCTGTGCCGAGGGCCCGACGTTCTGGTGCCGGAGCCTGGCGACGGCCGTGCGGTGCGGTGCGGTGCAGATCTGTGCCCAGGCCGGCTGGAACCAGGCTGCTAAGGCAGGTGCCGTCCGTGCCCCACAGCCTGCTGCGGTGGGGCTGGGTGAGATGCGGGGGGGCCATTCCCTGCCAGCCGGGGGCTGCGGCCAGGCAGAGGCATGTGCTGTCAGAGCCGCAGGTCCCGGGATCGGGGCCAGCGGGGAGCCTGGCTAGGGGCAGCCAGCATGTCCCCGAGCCCCGGGGGGCTTGGCCCCAGCCCTGTCCAGGGAGCCCTTGGGAGGCCGGCAGGGAGAGGGTTGGGTGGGGCCAGAACCGGGGTCCCAGGAAGGGGGGTGGCCACAGCTGGCCCTTGGCCTGGGGGGGCTGCAGCTGAGTGGCCCTGGGGCCCCCACAGGAGCCATGGCTGGGGCGTGGGTGGGAGCCGTGGGGGGGCTGGTGGCTCAGCCATGAGGCGGGGCGCTGGGGGGTGCCCTAGGCGCGCTGGCCCTGGGCCATGCCCTACTGACGGGTGTGCGGGGAGAAGGAGGAGCAGCTGGGGCCCCACAGAGGGGCCCTGACCCCAGCCCCTGCCCCCCACTCAGCCCCTGACGTGGTCTCTCCCCCCCAGGAGGACATGTGCGCGGACTGCGGGCAAATCGTCACCATCCTGACCCGCATGGCCAAGGATTCAGCCTTCAAGGTACTGTGGGGAGCCAGGGCTCCTTTCTGCTAGGCCTGGGGGGCGGGCGTTGGCTCTGCCCCACTCACACCCCTTCTCCCCACAGGACAGCATCCAGAAGTACCTGACCCACGAGTGCACCCTGCTGCCCCTGCACACCCTAGTGCCACACTGCCAGAAGGTGGTGGACACGTACTTCACCCTCTTCATCGCCTGCCTGGAGGGGCAGATCGTAAGTGGGACCCACCTGGCCCCTTCCCCGGGGGGTGGGGGATCCTTATCACTGCCTGACTTTCAGCGCCCAGCCAATCAGATAACAGGGGGGCCCTGCTGCCCTCGCACGATGGCACCATGCCAGGAAATAAAGCCACCCCCAAGGGCTAGCAGCCCAAAGGAGCACCAGCCACACAGCTGGGACATGGGCTGGTGGGGAAACTGAGGCACAGAGGGAGGGGACTTACCCGGGGTCCCAGTGAGTCAGGGACAGAGACTGGGACTAGAACCCAGGAGTCCCAGCCCTGCCTGCTCTACCCCACTAGACCTACTCCCCAGCCAAGGCCAGTCCTGCTGCCCTGTCCCTTGCTGGACCCACCAGGCACCCGAGCCTGCCCTGGGCTCGCTGGCAGACGCTGTGCCAAGGGGATGGTGACCCAACCCACTGAGCCCCAGTCTTGCTCTGCCGGTGCCCGTGGGCACAAGGGCTGGGCAGTGCTGGCTGGTCACCCCGCCTCACGATGGGCTGGCTGGGGTCACTGTCGTGCAGGGGTCTCTCCTCCTGCTAATCCAGCCTGGCAGACAGGAGAGCAGAACTGGGGCAGATTGGATCAGAATGGGCCCACAGCTGAACTGGGCAGTTCCAGCAGGGGGCGCAGGCAGTGACACCCCACAGCCAAGGGGTTCCCAGTCCCCTGCACCACTGGGATCCGCCCCTCCAGAGGAATTCCCAGCCCCAGGGGTCAGGGCAGTGTCAGAACTCAGGGGGCTCTGCTCCCGTCCTGGGGCCCCTGGGCATTGCTCCCCATTGTGTCACTCGTGGATCCCAGGGCACAAAACCACATCCCCCCTCCGCTCCCCCCGTGTCACTGACCACTGCTCTGCCCCTCAGAAACCCGCCTCCATCTGTGGCAGGCTGGGCCTGTGCCCCACGGACCCGTCGCAGGACCAGAGCCAGCACAAGTGTGTTCTCCAGCTGCTGCAGGGTCTCCGCCTGGACCTTCCCGATGGTCAGACCCAGGTACAGGCACCTCCACCCCCTCTGGGCCCAATCCTGACGCCATGTGGGGTCCCTCTACCTACTTCAGCAGAGCTGATGTGCTGAATTCTGGGGGCAGCTCCCCCATACAGAGGGCCAGCACCAGGTCTAGGTGCCCATACGTCCCCTCGTGCCCTGGGTGCCCCATGACACCACACAGCCTGATACCGAGCCCGTCCCTACACCATGGAATTGGGCTCCTGGATCCCAGCTTCACTGACAACCCCTGATGACTGACAAGGAAACCCCCCTGGAGCAGTCTGGCTGCCTGAGTCTGCTGAGAGCCTGAGCCCATCACTCTGAGGGGCAGCAGGGAAGCTACCTAGCCTTGAGCTCATAGAGCTGGGTCCTTTAGCTCAAGCAGAGGCTCAGGTTCAATGCCTGCCCTGGGGCATTTGACGGGGGGCCCGGGGAGCCACACTGAAGTTATTCAATTAGGGTGAAGTGCAAAGAATGGGGCAGACGATCCCCAAAGCTGGGGGATATTCCAATACTTAGATTTACCAGCCAGCCCAAAACAGCTTCTGTTATACCTCACCAGTTACCCAGCAGCCAGCAACACAGTTCCCTAAAGCAACCCAGCCTCAGGCCTCCGCCCAGACACCCAAGTCAAATACGATGGGGATTACTGAAAATCGTATTCATCATATAAGAAAGTTCTACCAATCCCAAAGGATCGGACACATCACCTCCCAGGTTAATGAGTATTCCAGATCTTACCCAAATACACGCTACAGCCAATTCTTATTAACTAAACTAAACTTTATTTAAAAAGAAAAGAGATGATTGGTTAAAAGATCAATATACAGACAGAGATGAGAACGGTTCTGAGATCAGATTCATAGCAGAGATGGGGAGCTTTGGAGTTCTCTGAATTAGTCCAGAGGTTACAGTCCAATGTCCTTATTCAGGGTGATCCAGGCGGGACTGGAGAGCTCAGTCTTATGACTTAAGCTTCCCTGGCATGAAGCATCCAGCAGATCTGAGATCAAAAGGATCCAGACCCAAGCAGGTTTTATACAGTTCCTGGCCTTCTCTTGACAGCTCGGAGTCCTTAGGTGAACAATAGACAATCATGGAGACTTGGAAGTAGACCTATTTCCTAAGCATCACCGGTAATTAGCTACACTGATTAACATAAGGCAATTTATCCATTAGGCAGTTGATCACAAACTTTAAAGAGACATCTAGACAATGACATTATTTCACCCAAGATTCATCTAAATCTTAATATTCCCTTTTGATCTCTGAATCAATAGCTATAATGACAGACAGGAACTGTCTGTTTACATGGCTAACATTTCACAAGCGATGAGTACACACATACAATTAGTATCACCTCTAATTCTCTAACAATACAGGGTTGCATTTCAAAGTTCTGGCCTATCTAACATGGAATGGCCCTAATTACCATTCGCATACTTTTCAAACATGTCTCTAAAGGTTGAATTTGGATCATTTATCCTGCAGGATGCTTAACCCTTTCTGGCCATGCGTTACACCCCCAGCGTGAGATTGGTGTAGACGGGAGTATTTGAAGCTCCTAGATACACCTTAAGGACCTCCCAATATTGATATGAGCTGTGTTTATATTGAATCCTTTGTAAGGCCAAATTAGTGATGCATCCTTTGGCTCAAGTTGACAACTTAGTCCATACTCTGTCAAACACTCTAGTGATTTCAGGATTGAGCCTATGTGTTAACTTAACATAGACATCAACGTTTTTCAGAGAGCACTTACTTTGACATTTAACCATGAAGGTGGTGAGGTGTTGTACCTCAGTTTCCCTTTTTGCACAGCAGTCCAAGCTTGTAATGGTTTTTCTGCTGTGGAAAGTTTTAGGATTGTGTATAGGCATTAGTGTGAAACCTCAACATTATTAGGCTTTCTAATACAAAGTGTGTTCTCATTGACCCAAACAGCATAATCATAAGGGTTTCTATTACACAGTATGTTTTCATGTACCACTCTTAACATGTTTGAGGATTTTCCCCATAAGTCATACACATTAGACATTTTTACAGTTTTTGGCATCAGCCATGAGAACTAGTTACAAGAATTAACATTAGTATTAATATTAACATCAAATCTGTCACAAGTGCACAATCACAATCACAATCATGTTTGTCATGCCAAACCTTTTGTTTAGCTACGTCATTCTTTAGGTCAGCTTGTTCAATATCCCTTTTGAACCTTTGTAGAGTTCCCTTTACCTCAGGGTTTTCTTAACATAGACTTTTAGTTTAACCACATCCTCAGGGCTTCGGTATTTTAGAGATGAGTGAGGCAAGTCTGTTAGGGCGTTTGCCTTTCAAGGGGCAACTTGCCTTCCTTCTTTTCCCTTTGTAGAGGGTTGAAATTTGAGCTTTCTGGTACACCATAATCTATGGGCTCGCCAGCTATGTGCTTATTGCCAGCCACTATGGGCAACTTTGTTCCTCCCTTGTGAGCTAGGGTATTTGCATGGACAACATGCCTTAAAGAGACACAACCATTTTCTATCATCATGTCCGAACTACAGTTCTACTGCTTTTCAGCTATCAATTTCTGCATCCACAAGGCATCAGATGCATCAGAGCTTACTAAGAAATCACCTGACATATCCAAAAGTGTCTATGGGACTATTTACAAGGCTGCTCTGCTGTGTAACGCCAGGAATCCAGCCTTCCTTTTGAACCTGAGACACAAACTGTTCACTTCCCATTTCAATTCATGAAGCCTCCTTTAAGCTAGCTCCACTGGATTTTTCCAAAGCAAAGTCAGTGGATTCATTTTCATTTGAACAACAAGGAGTCTGGTGGCACCTTAAAGACTAACAGATTTATTTGGGCATAAGCTTTTGTGGGTAAAAACCTCACTTCTTCAGATGCATAGAGTGAAAGTTACAGATGCAGGCATTATATACTGACACATGGAGAGCAGGGAGTTACTTCGCAAGTGGAGAACCAGTGTTGACAGGGCCAATTCAATCAGGGTGGATGTAGTCCACTCCCAATAATAGATGAGGAGATGTCAATTCCAGGAGAGGAAAAGCTGCTTCTGTAATGAGCCAGCCACTCCCAGTCCCTATTCAAGCCCAGATTAATGGTGTTAAATTTGCAAATGAATTTTAGTTCTGCTGTTTCTCTTTGAAGTCTGTTTCTGAAGTTTTTTTGTTCAATGATAGTGACTTTTAAATCTGTAATAGAATGACCAGGGAGATTGAAGTGTTCACTTACTGGCTTTTGTATGTTACCATTCCTGATGTCCGATTTGTGTCCATTTATTCTTTTGAGGAGGGACTGTCCGGTTTGGCCAATGTACATGGCAGAGGGGCATTGCTGGCACATGATGGCATATATAACATTAGT